TGAGCATTGGAGGAAAGCAATGCAAAAAGAAATCAATGCTCTCGAGGCCAACGGAACATGGGTGTTGGCAAATGCACCGCCTGGCAAACGCATCGTCGACTGTAAGTGGGTCTACAAGGTCAAGTTCAAGCATGATGGTTCTTTCGATCGGTATAAAGCTCGTTTAGTGGCAAAAGGTTTCACCCAGATCGAAGATATTGACTATCACGATACTTTTGCTCCGGTGGCCAAGCTCGTCACTGTTCGATGCTTAATTGCCATCGTCGTCAGTCAGAAATGGTTTCTCCACCAGCTCGACATCAACAATGCGTTTTTGCATGGCGATCTGCAGGAAGAAGTCTATATGCGAGTTCCTCAAGGCTTTTCTCGCTTTGGTGATTCTCGTGTCTGCCGGTTGCAGAAGTCTCTCTATGGTCTACGTCAGGCATCGAGAAATTTGTACCAAAAGTTTTCTCGTGCACTCCTTGGGTTACGGTTTGTCCAAAGCCGTGCGGATCACTCGTTGTTCACTTATCGGTCTGGTTCTAGTTTTGTTGCTGCGCTTATTTATGTCGACGATGTCATTCTCGCCGGCAATGATGAGAAGTTCATGCAGCGGGTCAAGGATTTTCTTCATGCCGAGTTCACTATCAAGGATCTGGGTAACTTGAATTATTTTTTGGGTATCGAAGTTGCCCGTTCACGTCAAGGTATTGTGCTCAACCAACGCAAGTATGTCCTGGATATACTAGCTGACTGTGGGTTCGAAGGCACTCGTCCTTGTGCCACTCCTATCGAGCAAAACCATCAACTGGGTCGTCATCCCTCACCACCAGCTCCTGATCCCTCGAGTTTTCGGCGTCTCGTGGGGCGGTTGCTTTACCTTACAGTCACCCGTCCTGATATTCAGTACGCAGTCAACATACTCAGTCAGGCAGTTCATGCGCCTACACAAGCCCACGTTGATGCTTCTGTACGCATCTTGCGTTACTTGAAGCAATCTCCTGGTCGTGGTCTCTTCTTCCCAGCTCATAATCCTCTTCGTCTCGAGGCTTACTGTGATGCTGATTGGGGTGGTTGTCCTACCACTCGTCGTTCCACTACCGACTATTTCATTAGTCTTGGCAGTGCTCCCATTTCTTGGCGTACCAAGAAACAATCTTTCGTCGCCCGGTCCTCTGCCGACGCCGAGTACAGAGCCATGGCTACCACTGTCAGTGAGATTGTTTGGCTCCGTTGGTTGCTCTCCGAGCTTGGACACCCTTCCACGCCTGCCACTCCTCTACATTGCGACAATCAAGCCGCCCTGCATATCTCTGCTAACCCTGTGTTTCATGAGCGTACTAAACACGTTGAAATGGATTGTTACTTCGTTCGAGAACGTGTTCTCTCTGCTGATATTGCTCCTTGCAAGATCGCTACTCATGACCAGCCTGCAGATTTGTTTACTAAGGGCTTAAGCGTGGATCAGTTTGGTCATCTACTTTCCAAGCTCGGCATGTTGGATATTCATGCCTTCGCTTGAGGGGGAGTGTTGCGGTTACTTTATCTTGTTTCCCAAGTAACCGAGTCTTTGTGTCCTAGTGAATGCAAGTTTCCTAGTTAATGTTGTAAAGGGAAACTGAGGGGTCGTTTGCTTCAAGGATTTGGTACCAAAAAACCAACTATCAAGGATTTAGGTACAATCCGTTGTTTGCTTGCACATTTTTTGGAGACCAAATCCGTGGGGCCCACGGATTTTAAGGGTCCAAATCCGTGGACCCCACGGACTTATAAATCCCACATGTTGATGTGGGATTTGGAATATGGCATAAATCCTTGATGAGATTTTACCCATATACCCTCATGCACTTTTAATATTCCAAGGTTGCCCTCAAATTTAACTATTATACATTATAATTAACAATAAATGAATAATATAAACGTTCAATTAATGTGCAAACATGAGTTAGATTTTTTATATCATTTCTTGTGTTCTAGTTTTCTTTGACCTTTTTATGGAACGTGTAATTCTTTGTTCTCCCGATCCTAATATATGTTGTTATATGTCACTTTTGAAAAGGAGGACAAAGAATTGGTAATTGATTATGTTACGTTAAAAGTTAAAATGGAATTTTCTCGTTTATTATTATTGTCCATGTGGCAACATTATGCTTATTAGTATGTATTGTCCTTGTTTTGTGTACATATCATAAACATGTCAAACATATAGAAAATGATAGTAAGGTAATTTTGAACTTCTATCCTTGTTTTGTGTACATATCATAAACATGTCAAACATATAGAAAAGGGCAGTAATGTAATTTTTGACTTCAAGTAGTAAATCCCACACCTTTAAATCCATGATAAAAACATCCCAACAAACAAAGGATTGTTACAAATCCATGATGCCTCAAATCCTTGATAAATCCTTGGGTTTTTAAATTACAAAACCCTCATTTTTAAATCCATGAAGCAAACGACCCCTGAGAGTCAGAGGTTTATTCGAGGGATTAGTCTCTCCCTCAGTCACTATATATATGCTTAGCTTCGGGTCATGTGGAAGCAAGCAAGGTCACGCAGTCATCAATAAATCTCAGTCCGTGAGCTCGTTCCGAGCTCACCGTGGATTAATCGTGTTCACAACGAACAGGGATACCACGTAAAACTTGTCCTCGTGTTTTGTTCCTTCCGCGTTGTTCGATTTCTACAGGATGTGCAGTGAAAGCAGTCTTGATGCACAGGAAATGCCTCTGCTGGGGGTTTTCTTTTTTCAATATAAAACAAATAATCTGACTACCTGTGAGTGAAAGAAGAAGTGAGCATTGAGTGTCACAATTATGGGACGCTAGCAATGATGGCAAATTTTGACATGAACCATGATATGATCTGTCTGAAGCGGGTATACTATCTTACTCGTAGTAGATTTGGGCGGGGCATAGGTGTTGCTTCCGACCTGTCCGTCCTGCCTGTTCTCGAACCGTTCTATTGATCATTATCTAGATGTATTTTTCTATATTGATCTTTCTAAAACTATATTATCATTTCAAATAAATTTTGAGACCATATCTTTCAATTATTTAGATTCAATTATTCCTTCACTCATTCACTTACGAAGTGTTTCTCTATCTACTCTCGTTAATGGTTAAACTTTGACGTTGTTTTTTCAAATAACATATAAAAATGGGTCAACGCCCCATCTTGTACTCGCGGGTATTACTCGACCTGACCCGTATCTAGTACAGGGTTGGTATATATATTGAAGTACCGCTCTCACCTGATGCCCTCACTAGATCATAGGTCTTTCCGGCCAAAAGAAATAATGCCTCTGAAATAAGGTAAGAGTAAAAGAGTTAACAAATTGATTGTTTCTTAACCTTCTACCAATAAGTTTAGAGAGGAAGCAATAAGGTTTTTTCTCATTATCTAAGATAAGCCCAGGGCAATGGTTGAACAACAAATTTACAACACTGAGAATAATAAAGAATGGTAATCTGTATGCAACCAAACTTCTTATAAAAGAGCATGTTTACTACTAAGTAGGCAGCTTTGTGAAAGTTTCAGGGATGTATTACAGTTTAACTTGAAGGGGTAATGAAGGTACGAAAGTAAAACTATAATAGGTTATTTAGTTTTAGCCTCTAGATTTCGGGGTCGTTTGGACGAGTTATTTGGGCAGTGAGTTATTTACAAATAACTTAAAACAAGTTATTTGAAATAACTCATACCCATGTGTTATTTCGAAATAACTCGTTTTACCACTCTGCTTTTACCAAATACTACATGTCAAATACCACATTTGCATGGTTTAAGCAAACGAGATAATTTATTTCAACTACCACTGAAATAACACTGAAATACCACATGAACAATAAATGAGTTATTTGACTCTAGAAATACCACATTGACAACTAACCCATCAATAGAGAGAGAGTGGGAAAGGTAGAGAGAGATTCTTCTATGCCCTCTCTCCTCCAACAACGGTTGTTTTCATGGCAAGCTTGGAGCCGTTGGCAGAGGAAATCTGCCACAACTTGAAGCCTCCTGATGGATCCCCTGCAAAGACACCCATCCCACCCAGCAAAAAGTCAAAATGCTCGAGCGATGGGGGATTTTCGGGTGAAGGAATGGCTCAATTCGCCGTCGTCATTGCAAGAGAGAACTCTGCCCAGATTGAAGATGCGGAAATGGAAACGGAGAATACGGAGAAGATGAACCAAGAGCCACGATCTGAAGCTAACAATTTCAATGCTTCCCCCCGAGCCTCCTATAAGGACTCCGTGCTGGGGAACTCACCGATGCCGGAAATCCCTAATGGGGAGGACCTCATGTCCGATGAATCAGAGGGAGAGGATAACGACGATGACCCGGACTGCCCCACGATCCGGGTGAAGAAAAAGACCGTTGCGAGGATCCGGTACAGATGGCAGCGAGCGATCACCTTCAAAGTGTTGGGGAAGAACTTCTCTTTCCCCTACATCCATAGGCGAGTGCGAAACTTATGGGCAAGAATGGGAGGGGTGAAGATTGGGGATATCGGCAATGGCTTCTACCAGACAATCTTTGATACCCAACTCGATCATGATCGAGCCCTCTATGGAGGGCCGTGGACGATAGATGACCACTACATCGTCTCATAGCCTTGGCGGTTGGACTTCGACCCAGATTTCGACACTATCAACAGAATGAGTGTTTGGGTAAGACTCCCTAGACTCCCACTGGCTTACTTCGATGAAGACATCTTAACTGATATTGGTAACAAGCTGGGTAGGCCGGAGAAGATTGATCACAACACAGAGAATGGGGTTAGAGGAAACTATGCCAGGCTATGTGTGGAAATTGATTTACGAAAGAGGCTTGTCCCCAAATACAGACTGAAGCGGCGTGTGCGACGAGTTGAGTATGAGGGGCTCCATGAAATTTGCTTTGAGTGTGGAAAGTATGGACACTTCTTGGATGCCTGTCCAGAAAAAATGCCAGCAGCAGCTAATGACCCAAGTGTGCACACAAGTGGGGAAAAAGAAACACAGTAGGCAGCGGAAATGAACAACATCAGGCCTGAACTTCTTGAAGACTTCGGACCTTGGATGATGGTGTCTCGACCAACACGAAGACCAATTCAGAAGAGTAAGAAGGCCGAGCAAGCTTCTTCTGTGAAGACTAGGGGCAACCAGAAAGAGACACAGAGGGAAGGGTCCAGATTCAGTGTCCTTAACGGAGCGATGGAGGAAAGGCAGGAATCGGAAAAGGGACAACAGAAACATCAACAGAGCAAGGAGAACGTGGTGGAGAAAGTACCAGAGAATTTGAGTGGGGAAAATGCTACAAGTAAAAAGGAAAGATCTACCAAGGAAAATGAGGAGGACAAGACCAAGAACACAACAGAGAAAACCATGAAGACCAAAACTCAGGGCAAGAAGGAAAACCAGAAGACTCCGGGGGTTAACCAAAAGCAGAAGACTAAGCCTGCAACTGTTCCCCTGGTGACGAAGCCTAAACCCAAGATGAATGAGCAAAGTCAAAGTGCGAGTAGAAGCTCACCAACTGTTAAGGGGGAAAGGGCTAATGCCAAAGGAAAGGAGATAATGGGGATCAAGAACCAGGGGCACAAACCACACTACCTCAAAGGTGTGACCATGGGGAAGGAGAAACCAATATCCCCAACCCTTGTTTCAAACCCGAACAGACAGGAGAAAGAGAGTGTGAAAGAAGCCAAAAGCAAACCCCCTGATCCAGGGGAGTTACCTCCTAAGAAGCTGGACTTTGATGTTGGCATGGAGGATGCTTTACAAGGATCAGAAAATATCCCTCCCTCGGATACTCACAAAGGAGGAGTTGACATGGGAGCAGAGGAGACGGCGATGGCCGTCGACATTGCCTGAATATCACCCCTGGCTTTCTGCAGGGAAACCACGCTTGTCATTTTCCAATGATTAAGGTATTTTCCTGGAACTGCAGAGGGGCGAGACACCCCAAGTTTAGGTCTTCTTTTGAGTTCTACAAGAGTCAGTACAAACTGAATGTGGTATGTATTGTTGAGCCTAGAATCAGCGGTGTTGATGTCATTGATGTCATCAAGACCCTAGGCTTTGATTCATGGAAAGTTTCTGATGCAAGGGGCTATAGTGGGGTAATATGGATCCTCTACGACAGTACCTCAACCAAGGTTACTAATGTTGACATACAGAACCAATTCATCCACTTCAAGTGTAGTATGGAAGGAGTCTCGGAATGCTACATGACTGCAGTTTATGCCAGCCCGAACGAGTTTGAGAGAACGAAGCTCTGGGATGCACTCTGCAGCATCAACAGGCAAACCAAACTGCCTTGGTTGTTGTTTGGAGATTTTAACTCCATAACCAAACCCTCTGAGAAGCAAGGAGGAGCTAGATTCAATCCAGCAAAGGTGAAAGCCTTCAACAACTGAATTGAAGACTGTGGCCTCCTTGACTTAGGGTTCACGAGCCCTAGCTTTACTTGGTTTACAAGCAAGTCAAAAAACAAAGAAAGACTGGATCGGAGTCTCTGTAACGTGGCTTGGCAGCAAAGTTTCCCGGAAACAACAACCTACCACCTCACAAAGATCAGACCAGAGCATAGACCTATCCTCACCTGCAGTGATGGACCGGTGGACAAGAGCAATCTGGGGAGAAGATTCCAATTCTTGGCCTCATGGCTTAGCCATGAGGAGTTTAAACCTTTTGTCTCTGATTCTTGGAACGAGAACGACTTTGACTTTCTTCCTTCCCTGCAGGTCCTTACTGAGAAGCTTAAAGAGTGGAAGTGTGGAACAAAGAGGTCTTCGGAAACATCTTTAAAAGGAAGAAAGCTTTGGCTAAAAAGCTTAACTCCCTGGAATGGTAAAACGAAAGGAATCCCACCAACCACTCCCTTCTTGCTGAGCAGAGAATAAGGGAAGAGTTGGAAGAAACCCTGTGGCAAGAAGAAGTCCTGTGGCTGCAAAAATCTAGGGCAACTTGGATCGGTCAAGGAGATCAGAACACTAGGTTCTTCCACACGAGCACAATAACTAGAAGGAAAAGAAACAAGATCAAAGGGTTGAAGAATGATGTAAACCAATGGATCACTGACCCTGAGGTACTCCAGATGATGGCTAGGGACTATTTTGTGAAGCTGTACACAAGGGAAGAAGGGGAGGACAAGCCATCCATTGCAGCTAACTTCCCTGAAGTGAACGAGGCGCTGCTTAATGACCTTGCAAGACCTCCCATCCTGCTTGAAGTGAAGCAGATTGTGTCTAAGATGGGAGGACTGAAGGCACCAGGCAAAGATGGCTTTCATGCCATCTTCTACCAAAAGTGATGGGATGTTGTTGGCCCTGACTTCAGCATGTTCATTGCCTCCTGCTTCATTAACCCTGAACGTATCAAGAGCATCAACGAAACCCTCCTGGCCCTGATCCCCAAAGTGGAGGCCCCTTGCTCCATGAATCAGTTTCGCCCCATTAGCCTTTGTAACGTGTCTTACAAAGTGGTGGCCAAGTGCCTTGCTGACAGGATTAAGCCTCTCATGCCCCAACTTGTGAAATCCAATCAGTCAAGTTTCGTTCCTAACAGACATATCTCTGACAATATCCTAATTTTGCAGGAGACTGTTCACTCAATGTCCAATAAAACGGGGAAGAAAGGCGCTATGCTGCTCAAGATAGACCTTGCTAAAGCTTACGATAGGCTAGACTGGAGGTTTCTTGAAGAAACACTTCATGCGGCCAAGATTCCAAATGATGGAATCAGACTTATCATGAGCTGTGTCACCACCATAGAACTGCAAGTTCTCTGGAATGGAGGAGAGACAGACAAGTTCATACCCAACAGAGGCTTAAGACAGGGATGTCCACTATCACCCTATCTCTTTACTCTTTGCATTGAACTATTAGGCCATTGCATTCTTAGGGAGGTTAGGAATGGTAGATGGAAACCATTGAAGCTGTCCTGTAAAGGACCTGAACTTTCCTACCTTTTCTTTGCTGATGACCTTGTCATCTTTGCTGAAGCTAGCCTCAGACAAGCTGAGGTGGTCATGGAATGTATTGAGCAGTTCTGTGAGGCTTCGGGTGAGCTCATAAGCAAAGAAAAGTCTCGTGTGCTGTTCTCTAAGAATGTGAAAACCTTTGATAGAACTTGCATTTGTAACCGCCTTGGTATCCAGAGTACCAATGACCTTACCTTGGAGTTCCTGTTTTACACGGTAGAGTCACTAGAAATACCTACAGATACATTCTTGAAAGTATTGACTCTAAACTGAGCTCGTGGAAATCTAGAACCCTCTCCTTGGCAGGGAGAGCCACCCTTGCCATTTCTGTCTTGAATGCTATTTCGATTTATGCCATGCAAACCTCCTTTCTTCCTATGTCTGTTTGTGATGAAATCGATAAGAAGATTAGGGGTTTCGTGTGGGGTTCTCATGATGGCAAAAGAAAAACCCACCTTATCAAATGGGAGGACCTTTGTAAACCGAAGGACCAGGGGGGCTTGGGTATTAGATCTGCCAGAAGCCTCAACATGGCTTTCATGGTCAAGTTGGTCTGGCAGATTTTGAATAATGAGAATTCCTTATGGGTCCAGGTTTTCCAGGGAAAATACTTCAAGCATAGGGATGGGAAGATCACCTCAATGAAGAAGAGTAATCACTCACCACTCTGGAAGGCGATCCTCAAAGCTATGCCATTGATGAAGTCTGCTACGAATTGAAGTATCAGAAATGGACGAAGCACTAGCTTTTGGACACATCCGTGGTTGGAGGCAGGGCTGGTCCTGGAAGATTTCCTTCTCGTGGATATTCCAGAACATGAAAGGGAAGAACCCGTCTGCAATTGGGCTATGAGTTCGGGAGAATGGGATTGGGAAAAGCTTGCTGGCAAGCTACCTAACGATCTACTTTCTCTTATTGCAGGTACCCCAACCCCTAAGCCTGACCTGGGTGAGGATACTATGATTTGGGGCATCGAACCTGATGGGCGATTTTGTCTCAAATCCGCGTATTATCTGGTGGCGAACGAGCTGGAGTAGGAGCATGAAGGGGACTGGAAGCAACTCTGGAGGTGGAAAGGCCCCAATAGAATCAAGTTCTTCCTTTGGCTGACACTACACGGGAGATTGCTGACGAATCAAGAGAGAGTGAGAAGGAAGCTTACAACTGACGGAAAGTGCCCACACATGGCATGTAATGGCGAGGAAGAATCAGTCGAACACGTCCTACGCAATTGCAAGAAGATGAAGAACTTATGGAGAATGCTTAGACACTCTGTCGCTGAACAAAGCCAGTCCACTCCCTTCAAGAAGTGGTTGGTCAGGAATATCAAATGCGAGGAGAAGGGTATTTATTTTGGCATCATCCTTTGGCAGATTTGGAAACAGAGAAATGAAGAAGCAATGGAGGAGAAAGCTTTCAACAAGCAGAGCCTCCTGCACAGGATTCTTGCTTATTTTAAAATTGTTCGACAATCACAAGTCCTAAACAATAAGATTTGCAGTGAGGAGCCCATTAGGAAGGAGACTCAGAGTCTGGGATGGACTCCCCCACAGGAGGGATGGGTGAAGATCAACACTGACGGGTCTGTGTTTGCAGAAGACAAAGCTGCAGCAGGAGGCCTCATCAGAGATCCATTAGGTCGTTGCCTTGAGGCCTTTGCAATCAACCTGGGTTCCTGTTCAATCACGGGAGCAGAATTAAAAGCAGTGGAAGCGGGGCTCTCTGCAGCATGGAGAAGGGGATTCCGGCGTGTTATCCTCTGCCTGGATTCTACTACGGCAATCAACATCATTCAAAATGTGAAGGACTGATCACAGACACGGCATTCTTGCCTTGGAAATCAATCGTCTGCTTTCATTGAACTGGGAAGTCTCTATCTCCCACACCTATAGAGAGTGCAATTTTGCTGCTGACTTTCTAGCCAAGAAAGGGCATAGTCTGCATTTTGGCACACATTTTGTTGACTCAAATGACCCAGGACTTCGGTACTGGTTATTGTATGATGTAATGGGTTTGTTCCAAGAACGTTCTGTTATTTGTAGTGCTTAGACACCATTGGTGTCTGTTTTGTTACAAAAAAAAAAAAAAAAACTAACCCATCCAAACAACCCCTTACCTTGAAGGGGTCATGAAGGTACGAAAGTAAAATTCTAATAGGTTATTTAGTTTTAGCCTCTAGATTTCGGGGTCGTTTGGACGAGTGATTGTGTAATGAATTATTATAAGGATAAAACAACTCACAAAATGGTTCTGTAGTATTTGTGAGTTATTTCAGAATAATTTCCCCCATGTGGTATTCTCAATAACTCATCATTGAGTTATTTTAGAATAACTCGGTACAAATAACCCATCAGAACCTTTTGCACACAAACGGGTAATTTGCTACCAAATAACTCATAACAATAATCCATCCAAACAACCATATAGTTAAGATAAGAAAGACAAACTCCGGATTCCTGCTGAAAATTTTCCCTGACCTTGGCTGGCCCTGTCTAACCTGCCCCTGCAGAGTCAACTTAAAAAACTGACTTGCCCAACCCCTCATTCCTTCTTGACCCTGTCTGACCCGTTAGGATCGGGGCTAAGTTGAGTAGGGCCCGGGTCAGAAGGTCGACCATGTGCACAACTGTTTTGGAAAATTATAATTTGGTACCCAATTTTTTTACAATTAGTAACTAAATTTTAATTTTTTTTACAAATAGGTCCAAAATTTTTGATGGAAATTATATTTTGGTACCTTTATATTTTGTCTCTTATGTAATAGTCAATATGTTGGTATGAGGAATTTCAAGACAATGAAGACATTATGGGTCATAGGTTCAAAAAGTGACCCGCCCTAAACTGACCTTGATCATATCCGACCCGCTCCGATCCTAAACTGACTCTATAGATAAACTGACCCTCCCCGACTTTGAGAGTCAGGATCGGAACGGAACAGGGCGGGTCAGTGAGTATCTAGAATAATGCTTACCGCTCTACTCCAAATTAGAGAATTAAGGGAATATTAGCACGAGATGAGAGCATATAGTTCCTTTTATTTTATGGTGCAAAAAAAAAAAAAAAATCGAAGTAGGTAATACCAACTGACACTTGAGCTTCTCTTAGCCCTTGCGAACTATAAGCTTTGCCCAATAAAATGATGCTACTCTTGGCGTTTAATTCCCCTCCTTTCTAAAATACCATAGCGATACATATGATTGGATCTCATGGTAATGGAACTTTCTACATTGTGCTTTTTAACAACATGAAGGTTCTACTATTTTAAACTTGTGCTACTTTGTTTTTTTTTTTTTAAAGATGTGCTATTGGTTGAAATCAACCCTTGGTTTTATCTTTGTCCACTAGCAGGTGGTTAGCTCAAGTCGTCAAGAGGATCGGAATATGTTTGAATTGGAGGGCATGAGACAATCAGACAAAGGTATCTTAAGAAAAAATATTAGATAACCCTTTGGAAGGCTTCCGAGTAAATTAACAAATACATACATGACAATGCCCTCATGCTCAAGTCAATAACTGGTTAATATCAGGAGGAAGTTAACCTCATATTGCTCTATCCGTATCCAGTGGTGAGTAGGGCTGGAAGTTTGGTACCGGTATTTGGGATGTACTGAATACTGTATCGAATTTGTCTATATTTGGTATTACTGAATACACGTATTATTTTGTGGGATTGAGATTGAATTTCAATTGTTATTCGGTATTAGGGATTACAGGATTGAGATCGGAATATACCGAAATACCGATGAATACCGAAATATAAGCTAGTGCGAAGACATTCTTTATGGAACGAAGGGGGTTTTGTTTAGCTGTCTCTTTGAAAAAAACAAGTGTCTTCCTAATGTGAAGAGTATGTCTTACGGTAGCGATAGTCCCATCTTCGAGACTTACAAGTCAAAATGATAGAGGCATAGAAACTCCGATCGGGGTTGTGCCTACCCTCGGCGAGAATTGGACATTACTCGATAAAATTATGTCTGTGTGCACTTCTAACGAGATACGGGGAACAAACTGGCGAATCTACAATAACCAAGGGCTCTGTGCATTGTCGAAGAAGTAAGCATAATATGTTTATAATTATAATGCCATCTTTGTAAAGATAGGAAGATTTTAGGTTGTTTTCAATTTTTCTTGGCACTATCAAGATTCCAACACCATTAGACCATATCCAATAAGCAAGAGCTAGAATGCTAGAATGCTATATTTAGTTTGAAACTTTGGCTCCAAATGTGAGTTTTGCCCAATAAGGAGTGTTGTAATGTCAAACTTTCTCTTTTTTGTGATTATGTAGTTTAGTGTCGGTTTCTTAATTTTAATTACATAGTTTGTAAATTATTTTTAGAGTAAATGCAATTTATTAATCAAATTATTCTAACATTTCAAATTATTAGTCAAACCTTTCAAAATACAAAGTAGAAGCCAAATCTTCTATAACGAATTAAAATATTAGCTATTTGTCAATTGTCGTTAATAATTTTGTAACTAACATCAGCGTGACTAACATAACTGCGACAAGAAGTTAACATTTGGCTAATACCTTGTATTTCAAGACGTTTGGCTAATAATTTAAAAAATTTGACTAATAAATTGTATGTACTCTTATTCTTATGTAGGTAGTAATAATTAATGAAGACAAACATTTCAATGTAATATTTTTTAAATTTAGACATAAGAAAATTATCGTTAAATATGATGTCATCAATGAAGAAAACACAATAATTGATTGAGATAACCATAGATTCATAACATGTTTGTAAGTCGGTGTTGTGCCATAAACTCTCATTCAGCTTTGACCATTATTGCATAAGGAAAGTAGTAGTAGCTTTAACCATTATCTGCGCACAAGACACGTAGGAGAGTAGTAGTTTGAAGTGTCAAAATAAAGAAAGTAGTATGTGTTATTGATGTATTCCCATGTTGTATTGATATATTTCTTTACTTGTTGTATTTTAAGTGTAAAAAATACACTTAAAATAAAACAATACATTCAATCTCATCTTGTTGCCTCTGATAACAAGCTCTAGTTTGAGGATTGTATCGAGAAAGATTAATTCTAATTGTCATCATCTTGTGTACATTGGTGACTGATAGTTTTCCATCGAGAATATAAACTCACGTTGGTATGTGAAAATCCTTATCCTTTAGAAGCAAAGATGACTCCCACTTTTTACCAAAAACAAAAAAAAGATGACTCCCACTCGCCTAAAAAATTTGGTCATACTTTGATAATGACCAACGACACCATCCTCCTAAATTTCAATCCAAACTTTGCATAGAAATTCATCTTCAACCTTTTTCAAATTCGGACGACAATTATATTGAGACATGATCAAGAGTTTAGAAGTGGTGAAGTAGTAGTAAAAAAATGTGGCATATTTATAGGGAAAATTGGAAAAAAAGTTTAGAAGGTTAAAATAGCCATTGTGAATAATTGAGGGACTGAAAGTGAATTTGTTATTTTATATTTACTACAACGGTTGTTTGGGAAGGACAGAAGCGCATCAGGTCGCGTGTCACACAAATGCAGGGAAGGGAAAGGGCGACAGGACTAGCACGAGGCGAATGCGCCCTTCCGACGCGTATGGCGAAGTGGGGAGGCCGACCCATTTGATTAGCAAGTTTGTCAAATTGGCTCTAATTGTTGACTCTGGCAAACAAGTGGTTCAAGGTTCGTCTGGTCGAATCCAAATCTCTTGGTTGTCTCGGATTTGCGTTGAAAAGCATAGAGGAGAAGTGCTTGTGAAAAAACGAAGGGAGAGAAAATATTTGATTGACTCATATTAGTTAAATAGTAAAATTGGCATGCGTTGAATGTATTTGACTAAGTTTGACAAGAAAATTGGGCAAGAGAACTCAGTTATGGTCAAACCTTATTTAATATGCCAGTTTCAACCTAATTTATCAATATGTTGATGAATTAATGTCCAAGTAGGTGATATGAGCTAGCTATTTGTTTGTGTTACAGAATGCGCGTTGAGCCTACTAATTATCCTCGAGGTAGCTCGACTAACAATGATTTTTTATTGGGCCAAAATTATTATTAAATATTTATACATAATAGATATTTTGGGATTATTATCCCGTAATTATTTTATTCAAGCATTATTAAGGAATTTTATTGTTTGATTTTCATTTATGTGTGAATATTCACTTATTTTTCATCATATTTGCATCCTCTTATTCAGGGGTGGACCCAAGTAGGTCTAAGGTGTGTCGTTCGACACACATTCGCCCGAAATTTTTGTGAGAGATCCCAGTTTTGTCGGTATAAAATATTTGATCCCGAAACTTTCGACACACCTTTATTATGCTTAAAGAAATTTTTTGTTAAAAAGTTACATATATGTGTATATATACAGTGTTTATTTAGTTTTTATTAATAATAATGAATAAAATAATATTTAGTTTATTTGAAAGCCTGCAACCCTTCATTATGAACACGGGCACAAAGCTTCTCCCCTGCCCTTTTAGATATCATGTCAAGGAAATATAAGCGCTTCAATGAAATGCAAGAAATTGATAAGATAGCTAGAATTTAGATGAATGGTGGAAAGAGGATAGTGCACTTATTATCCTTTGGTTAATTTTCTTTGGAAGTTAATACTGACTTTACCTATTGCAACAACAAGCTGTGAATGAGTCTTTTTAGCTATAAAGTTAATCAAAGACAATAATCAATTATGTGTATAAAAAGGATTTGATTTGTAATATAATTAATGTATGTATTTTATAAACCTTTTAGAATACGAAAATTCATTGTGATTCTTTAATAAACAATGACATTTTCAACTTTATGAATTTATTTTATTTTTATTTATTTAATATTTTATTATTATTGGTCCACACAACCGTTTAAAAATCCTGGTCTGTCACAACTCTTATTTCCGTTCCAAACTAAAAAACAATCCACTTACACTAGTTGTAATTTTCACCTCAACTTACACCCCTCAAATCTGCATTCTTATTTACCGAACAGGATGCAACATTTGAATTTTAAATGCTAACATAAATTTTATTCCACAATGTTTTTCTCGAAGAGACTTCCAACGCAA